ATATTCTCCGGGACAATGGCTCCCTTATGATAGATGAGTCCAATGACATACGCATTGTAGGCCTCATTACTGTTGTCATTCTCCTTGGCATCACCATGATTGGGTTAGAATGGGTTGTGCGTGCACAAATGTTACTTCTCATAGTACTAGTTATTTCCATTCTTAATGTGCTGATTGGCACTTTCATCGGGCCACAGTCTGAGGAAAGCAGAAGCAGAGGTTTTGTTGGGTACCAAAAGGAAGTGTTTGAGACCAATTTGGGTCCTGGTTATAAAGGCGAGAGTTTCTTCTCTGTCTTTGCAGTCTTCTTTCCTGCTGCAACAGGGATTTTAGCTGGGGTGAATATATCTGGTGATCTCAAAGATGTGCACAAGGCTGTTCCAAAGGGGACCTTGCTGGCCATTCTAATCAGCACCATTGTGTATGTCATGCTTGCTTGGTTTGTGGGTGGATGTGTCGAAAGAGAAGCTCTGGGGTTTGTGCAGGAGGTGTTGCAAAATAAGACTTTGGCTTCTTGTGTAGAACAGGAGTGTAGATATGGGCTTCTAAATGATTTTCAGGTAAGGTTTCCTTTAAAAAAACAAAGCATATACTGTTAAATTTTTTCAAAATGCTTGCACATATGTCACTGGTATTCCATCCATCTTATTCACTTCAACCCTTGAATTCCCATGATCTGATCATTTATTCTCTGGCTGTTACCTTCTACACATCTCTTTGTAAATGAGTTACAAGAATTTGGTGTTATTTCAAGATAACATTCTCATTCCCAGTTTTCTTTATGTTATAATTATGTACATTGTGGAGAAAAGTTACATGCGAGTCACTTATAGGAGTTATAGGGTTTTAAAAGAATAGCTTGGCTTGCAAATTCTTTGGCTCAGGTCCCTTTGTAGCCACCCTGTCACAAGAGGTCTTTCCACTGAGAACAGGGTTGTTCTGCTGATTTACCTCGATAATTCCATGGATAAAGTCTTCTGACTTCTAGTGAGAATTATGAGTTAAAATAGCTGGCTAAGATGTTATTGAAGGTCATTCGGCCTCTTTGTGTTGCATTTGCACTTACATTTAGTACTAATACAGTATATATAACTTTCCCCAAAGACTGAGGCCAATTACTTCGAAATTTGAGTTATCAATTGATTAATTGATCCCTAACTTATTTAAGTAGTTATCTTTTAGTAAATTTATCTTTTAGGTCATGGAGGAAGTGTCGGGATGGGGTCCAATTGTAACAGCAGGCATCTTTGCATCCACTTTGTCCTCTGCACTTGCGAGTCTTGTCGGGGCACCCAAAGCATTCCAAGCAGTTTGCAAAGACAAGCTTTTTCCTTACATAGATTTCTTTGGTGTTGGTTATGGGCCTGGCAATGAACCTC